CAGTGTTTGGCATTATTATCTTTGTGCATCTCGCAACCTGGACAGAGAATAACGTTTACCTTAACCCCTTATAGTCACCATGAGATAAGAAGACGTTTCAGACAACTATCTAGGAAAGAAAGCCTACCTGCAGAGGTTGCTCCTCTTGCATCATTTGCTTATCAGATACAAGATCCCATTGACTGGGACGAGCTAAACCATCAGACTCCTTGGTACCTGCATGTTTCCATATAAGCAACCAATAAACATTTTAGTCATTCCGTAAACAGAAGTCATTAGCTAATCAAAGTAAGCCCAACACTTGAGCAGCAAAGAGTGTGCACATACCACATAGATCGTTGATCTTCTTGGCGAGTTCCTTAAATCTCTTTCTCAGCTTTCTTGATAGGTGCAGAGTAAGGCCCTAACCCCTGCAAAGGTATGACATATACGAAGGTCAGCATATGGAGAGAGCAGATACACGAGCAGATACAGCAAAGACTCAATCATCTAAGTAGAAAATAACACAGAATTGAACTAAGTAGAACAATCAAGCACATCAAAAAGCACCTAACGAATCTAGCTTAAAATTTACTCAGGAGAAAACATCAAATTGGTTTGCAAAGAGACGAAACCCTCACATTCAAGAAACCAAAAAGTGCTTAGTAACTAAAACCCTAAATCAACTCGCTTTACAGAAGAGACTAAGATGAAGATAAAAAAAACTGTACCGATTTGGGTTTGAGACGTGGTGAAGAAAGAAGCAATGCGGCGTCACGGCGATGAATCACCGGAGGACTCTGATCCCAACAACTCCTTCTCGTGGAATCCAAACTCATCCTCATCTCAACAAGATTCTTCTTTTTCGTCGCCGGCGAAACAGAGGCCAGGGTGAAAGGAATCAGCGAGGCGAATGTAAACAAACTGCCGTAGTTGGATTTCATCGGAACGTAAATGGCGTGGAGAGAGTCAGAGACTTTGACGAAGAATGCTTCGCTACGCCATTGGTCGTCTCTAATCTCAGCATCAATATCTCTCACCATGTTCTCCAATTTCGAATCGGAGATTTATATGTCTTGCCGGAGAAGAAAGTTTCTTTATTTCTGTTGGATTGAATTCTCGGGAGTTCCTAATTCTAGACACTTTCCCTTTTTCTAATATAATCCCCAAGATCACTCTACTCTTAATGAAAATTGCAATCCCCAAGTTTTCCCTTACCAAACCGATTCAAACCGATTCATCAAACCAATTTTTAATTAAATTAATTATAAAAAGAAACTTCCTCCCCAGTCTTTCACCATTAAAACTCAAGCTTAAATCTTTAAATCATATCTTTTCTTTTTCCTATTATTTTTAGCTTAAATCTCCTTTAATCCATAGAGTATTAAATTGATTTGAGTTGTTGTATTTGAATTTTAGAGATTTTAATTAGATTTGAAACTTGTGGTGACAATTAATGGACATTGACTTGATAATCATCTATTATGGGTCGGTTAATATATATGAATGGACTCTAGTGACTGAATCGTGGTAAATCATATGTAGATTAGCGTTTTTGGACTGGTTTTTTACTATGTACTAGTTTAGTTTTAGTTCTATCCTTTTTAGAAAAAATAGAGACTAACCTTCCAAAAACATTAAAGACAACCTCAGAGAAACTTGGATAGCTAGTTTCAGAACCAAGATAATATTCAAGATTAGTATATTTTTCAATGTATATGTACTTTATGTTTTTGTATAACTTGGTAAAACTCGGTCTTGTAATGGTACAACTACGTATGTCTTTGCTCGTATTCAGTTTGTAAAATGTGGTACAACTAACGGTACAACTACGACCAATTTCTTAAAAATTCATAAGTACTTTATAAATAGATTTTTTGGAAAATGTTAATAATCTTTCATATTCACTTTATAAATTGAAATTTGTGTGACAAATCTTCTAAGATAGCATCAAAAGAAAAAGAAAAAAAAGAAGAAGATAGTGTTCACTAAATTCATTTGTATACAAGAAAGACCTTATAGTTTAAAGATGACTTTCTTATTGTTAACTCAATTACATTGCAAACACACACAAAAATAAGGTTTTGATTCATATTTTAATTTGGGGGATAGGTTTTCTTTTCTAACATCTCTTTATTCTCTTATAAAATATACTCTCGCATCTATCAAATGAAACCTTTGATTTGATTCTTACCGATCACATGATTTTGGGTTTTTCTTTTCTAGATAACCAACCAAAGAATATGGCTTGGAGACGTTGAAACACTCAGTTGATTGATTCGGAGTCCAACTTATATTCTTGTACTAAAGGTGGATATTCAATGATAGTGACAAAGTTTAACACAAACAGACACTGATGCAACAGAGAAATCTCTAGCACACAAGGCCAAGCTGACCTGTCAAGACACAGGAATTTACATAGTAGAGAAAGCGAGAGGAACTTGTAAGTTGTCACAGAATGTATCTGAGTCGGAGATGAAGTATGTGCCTGTGCGTCTACTTACTCTGAGTGTGATGTCCAATACATTAGCCCACTGTCAAAAGAATTTGTGGTCAGTGACAACAGATTTACACATAGGATTTGCAGTACAAGGAAGCAAAAAGGTTATGATGCATTATGTCTTATTGCCGATACAAATCCCATTTTCTAGGTTTTGACTGTGCCATACGATGATACGAAAGCCAGCTGTACTCATACAGTCTTATGCTATTTCTAGCTGAGAGAAACTAATCTAAATGTGAACGAACCAATGATTTAGTTTCAACTTATTGTTCTCAGTCAAAATCTACTGTGATTATGAAAGATGTTTCCCAAAAGCTAGTCAGATGCAATAAAAAGGTAGGCCTATTAGTTGAAGTACAGGATTGTCCCAATTCAGAGGACTAAGATTGTATGAATCACTAAATTATATGGATTTTTCTATAATTCTTCTAGTTCAATCTGCTCAGTAAATTTTTCACAATTGAAAAGCAGTGTTTGGTGGTGCCTTAAGATATGCAACAGCCAGAAGACAACATAGAAAGGTAGAATGCTTTTACCTTATCAATACAAACACACATTGAAAAACACCAGCCACACCAGTCCAAGTCGAAGGCCCAGTCTTGACAACCGAATCTTGAATCAGCAAGCCAACAGATGCAGCTAGCGAAACAAATGCGACGACATACGCTATGAAAAGCCATAACTTCAATCTGTAATCAAGAATTCAAATACACACAAGATATTTTAGATATGACGTTTATATATACACACAAGATATCACAACTATCTTCTAGTTTCTACAAAAGTACAGATTAATAACACGCAGTAACCAAACTCTCAATTGTTATCTTGATTTTAAAATCATAATCAGAAACCCAACAAAAGCAGTTATTGAAACAAATGCTACAACAAACGCTCTGAAAAGCCATAACTTCAGATAAGCTGTAATAAAAACACAAATAAAAAATAACTGAAACAAGCCGCAAATCTCTGTAAGAACTTGGTTTCAGATAAAGTATTACTATTACTAGTTTCCACAGGGATAGTGGGATACAGATTAGAAACACTTGGTAACCAAGCTCTTAAGTCTTATCTTAATTCAAAAACTGAACCAGTGAGGCCAACAACAGCCGCTAGTGAGACAAATGTTATGACATACACAAATCTTCAATCAAAATCCAAGAATCCAAAATACACAAATCAAGAATAATATAAACAATATCCACCAGTCACAAATCTCAGATAAAAACTTAACCTATCTTCAAGTTTCCAACAGAAATACAAAAGTTCTCAAGTCTTGTCTTTGGTTATATGTACACATGATATCTCAGCTATCTACTAGTTTCCACAGGGATACAGATTAGAAACACTTAGTAACCAAGCTCTTAAGAGTTAAGTCTTATCTTAATTTAAAAACCAAACCAGTGAAGCCAACATAAGCAGCTATGAATAGCCATAGTCAAGAATCCATAATACATAAAAACACAAATCAAGAACAGTATAGATTATACGCATCAGCCACAAATCTAAGCTAAAAACTTAACCTATCTTCAAATTTCCACAGAAACAAAAATTTTCAAATCAACGAAGTAAACTAACCTCCACTCGCCTTCGTCATAAGGAGAGTAATCAATATCTTCTTTTCTAACGCAATTGAACATTAAAGCTCCAAGAGATGCGAATATGCCTGAGAAAAAACCCCAAAATTACGAAATTTCTGAAAACCCTAAATTCACGAGAGAATAGTTCGATGGGAGTTTATAAATTACCGGGAAGGTAATGGAGGAAGGGAACTTGAGTGGAGCTGCAGACGACGGCGTCAACCCAAAACCACCACCCGGTTCCGAAGACTGCGCCGGAGAACCCGGGTCCGAAAATAGCCCATAGTTCAGCCAAATCCATCGCTCGATGATCTCTTCTCCAACAACAAGATCTTCCTCCGCTCAAGTCAAAATTGTAAGAAAATTGAAAAAAAAAAAAACTTTATTGTTGAATCGAATTATTATAATTTTATTTTTATACAGAGAAATAATGTTGTTGTTTGGTTTAGGTATTGGTTAGTGTTTTCTGACCCGATTTGGACACAGAGTCGAACTGAACCGGTAAATCCGGTGATACGACCACTAATTCGGTTAAGATCCATACGGAAAATCCAACAAATCTAACGATCCGCTATTATTGGTTGAACCGGTTGTGTTTGAATATACAGTTATTAAATTTTTTATTTTTGTATAATAATTGTATAAGATATATTTAATAAAATATATGCTATTTATCATCCTTAGATAAAATTTGATGAAATTTTTTAGCCTTCCACGTTCGATTTAATCGGTTTGTGTTATTTAGTTTTTTCAAATTTTGGATTATCTAAAAATTTAGCCGAATTGAACCGAATCAAATTTTGGTATGGTTTGTTTGATAGTATGTTTTATTTGATTTGATGACCTACTATTGAATCTATTTTAAATAAATGTACACGAAGTTTTATTTTACTTTGGTTTATTCGTTAATCGTATATGAATTATAATGTTTTCTTAATATGAAACTCAAAAAATCTAATCGACAAACCGTTCTAGAGCTTACAAAAAGTTACAACCATGTATGAACAAATAGCCAACTAACCAGGTAACTCGGAAGGTCGTCTTTGGTTGTTATAATGTTATATATGTTATGTGTTTGATTTTGGTTAAGGGTTTCGGATTTGGGTTTTATTGACTACAATTCGGGTCCAAGAAATATCCATTCGGGTTAAACTAATTGTGAACAGTAAACGCGAATTAACAATTTAAAAATACAAAATCCCAATTTTTAACAGTTTAATTGATTTTGGTTAATTAGGTAGAAAGATGTAGTTTATGCGAAATTGGGAAGAAAACTATTTGTTCATGTGAAATTGGGTAGAGTGTAAAAGTATAGGTGAATCCTAATTGAAACCATATACTAAGCTTCTCACTTAAAATGGCTTCTCCTCTGCCCCTAAAATTTCTCCACATCTATAATTGTTTAGAATTTTTTTTTATGATTTTACTCTCCATTAATAAAATATATTTTTAGGATATCGCTTATTTACCATAATATTTTGTTTCATACCTTTTTGAATTATAATCATTTGATCCAGTATTTATTTTTATGATAGTTATATATTTTACTATGTATTTCTTCAATTTTTAGATAATTTCCAACTATTTATTTATTTATCTTTCATAATAATAATATATTGAAACCTTTATTTAATAGATTTGATAAACTGTTTCATATGAACCAGTTTCATTATTTTGCGTTTTCATAAAAAAAAAAAACGTTAACAATTGTTTTGAAAAAAAATATAATGTAGCGTAAAAATGTGGATAAAATTATATATATTTTGAACATTTGAATTTATTATCACAATAGTTTAGTATATAAACAATTAAAGAACATAAGAATTAGAATAATTTTTTTTCCATAACCTAGTGGTAGTAGAAATAAGTAAAATTAAATGATTAACTAGTAAAGTAAGTTAATATCAAACGAGTAACTTAATAAAAGAAGTTAAAAATGAGTTTGCGTGATAGAGCCGTTAACACACAACGGTTAGAACTTCGAAAGCACGCTTCGACGGCCGCCTATAAAAACAAAAACTTCATATTTCATCTTTATTCTTCTTCACCT